AACTGTAACCGGAACTGCGGGTTATCATATATATCCTTATTCTGAGAATATAACATACGTTAGAAAAGGGGCAAGGAGCTGCTTTTAGTTGCCTCCCAAGCGATTCTCTAATATTGTGGGTTTTATGTAAAACATTTCAGTATGTTTGTCATTGATATTTCCCCCTCCCTTTCTCTCAATATCTCCTTAGTACTCTGGGTTTAGCCTAGTCCCTAGGGGTACAGACCCAGGTTTGGACATGATTAGTAGCCCATTGTATATTGAACTTTTGGAGGAGAACATAGCAACCTTCTTATGTAATTTCTGTTACCTCTAGGTTGTATGAATCTTCCTGTATGACTGATCTGATGATTTTTTTACCTAATTGTTAGAGGACTAATTGGCTTGGGGAAGGAACGAGACCTCAATCCTTTGTGTCTGTCGATTGAAAGGCGGCTGTCACCTGGCCAAAGGGCGAAGACGTGGCCGTAATATTATGGGCCACGGGCCAGGTGGATGTCCCAGGCCAGAGTCGGGGGAATACTATTGTGTGTGGCCATTTCTGGAATGTTGTGCCACTCCATTCCCAGGTCTGGAGGAGGTCTCGTACTATTGTATTGTATGTGACAATTGAACAATCCACTGCACGCTCATCAAGCCTGGCTCACGAATTTCATCAATGAATGGTCATGTTGTTGGCTTACGAACTTACTTCCCTTTCCTCCAATTATTGAGGAAATTTTTCTCACTTGGAGGTGGAAGTGTATGAAGGCATTCAGGCTCAAAATCAGAGGTTTTCTGCTCCATGCAAGGAACAGCGTTGATGATTACAGGAGTCAGTGCAAGGCGGGGGATGGTGCGACATGCATGCGTTTTTCCTCGTCTAGCATAGCAAGGGAGAATTACCGCTTGTTCATGGTGGGCCAGGCAACCCTATGTTGCCGACCCGGGCACCCGCGAGTTCCCCGGGATGGCCCAGCGAGCGGTGGAGGGAGGCCACACGGCCGACATCAGGCGCCCGGGACATGCCCGTGGCCAGGACGACGGAGGTCCGAGCGACACGCGACCGTAGGAACCCCGCACACTGTCTTGTCTCCCCTTGATCTCAAGCTTCTCTTACTTTACAGCCTGTTGCGCCTCCCATATTCACTTCCTCCCCTTGTTCCTCTTCCGTCTCTCATGCCCTGTCCTCCCACCCCCCCTCCCCACCCCCACTTTATAGGGTTTTTTTGTGGTATACTTTTTTACTCGATGTATGGAGTTTAACTTTTATGTGTGGTGAAAAAAATGGTTACATTTCTTGGCGTATGAGTCATGTGGGTGTGTCAAACCTTGGCGTGGTATTTCGTAATCCTTTATTTTCCGTTTTACCATTGTATTTACTGATTAGCTAAGGACAAAAAAAAACTTCAGTAACTTTGTCAATGAAGGATTGGCTCGACTGGAGATGGACATTTTGAGGATATTCAATGGTTCCTCTTGCATTAGTGGACAAAAACATCTAAATTTTTGACTTTGCAGTTGCATCACAATTGCAAAGGGACAATGGTTTCGGGGGAGCCACTGTCTTTTATATGAGAAAGGAATTAGTTTTGAAGCATGAGTGAAGTTTGGTTTGGAGTATGAAGCTTTGCAGTACTTGTGTTGTGTGAACTGTAAGACTGTTTTGCAAAGTGTCTTTAGAGGTTTGCGAATGAATTTCTGTTTCAGAAATGATGCCAACCAATGGGAGAAAACTGTAATATAGCTATTTACTTGTACTGCATGTTGAGTAAGTGTAGTTCAACAGTTTACTGATAAATGGATAAGGTAACATAGTTATGCCTGTAAATGCTGGGGTTGGTTTGGTTGGAAGGGAATTGAATCCTCAGCATGGTTAATGGCGAAATTGCGCACTAACAATTAAAAACTCCTACATGAGGTACTAAATGTAAGTATACGTTGAATGGCTGCTGCGGAAACATTACCAACAAAATTAGGATTAAAAAAAATGATTATGGTTAATTTTGAACATAAAAAAGGGCTTTAATTTACTGCCCAATGGCATTTTTCTTTGTTAAAGATTCCACTTTGTTTCTAGAAATTCCTTTATTTACAACTAATTTGCAAACGGGGTTTTTGTTCTGTAGAAAAAGTAATTGCTTGGAGGTGCCAGTTAGCGTTAGTGGGTAGGAGTTGGACCCCCCGTTACGGAGGCTTAGTCCTTGCTGAAGCGCCGGGTTCGAGTCCGACCTGGGCCCTTTGATGCGTGTCATCCCCTCTCTTCGGCCCCTTTCCTGTTCTACAGTGTCATATCATAGAGGACCAATAAAGCCACCCAAAAAAAAGTTTAATGTGCCTGGGAAATTATTGTTCTATAAATAGTAGGAAGTGTGTTAGTTAACTATTGGCATTCACTTAATGATATGAAAGTATCTTGCACAAAAGTCTCTGGCCTATATTCATTTTCCTGATTTTTGAATTGCTTTTTTGCAGTTATTTCACTTCCCATTGTTTTTATTACATTTAAAAGCCAGATTATTTCAAGGGAGACATGATGGGATGCATGTTGTGTGGTGTATATGATCTCAATCGCTGGAAAACTTGCCTCTGCAACTAATTTCTAGAGATAGACAGACAGACAGACAGACAGACTCTTAGCAGTGCCTAGTTAGCACTTAGAACACACAAGGGTGTGTCCATCCCATGTATAACCACAGCAGAGCATATTTACAGCTGTGGTATTCAGACATGCACATAGCTTTCATTTTCAGTGGATTTTTATGAATAACTACATTTGGGGATTTTTTAAATGTCATTTTTAAATGCTTGAAGCAACATAATGGAAATTGCACACACCTCCATTATATCTGAGTGCAAATCTAAATAGCACATCTTAAAAACAATTTCAAAAAAATCTGCAGATACCACAAGACCTAATGACATATGGAAAAACATTTTATAAAGTGATAAAGATAGTTTTCAAGAGTAAAGCCAAGAGTTTACATGTAAATATTCACTTGATTCAATTACTGACTTTTTTGCTGAGCTTTTTCATTTGAGTTTTTGATTAGTTTGAGTTCATAAATTGTCAGTAAAATGAAAAACAGGTTTGTAGAGTACAAATAGCATGGCCTGCGTTTTTTTCTGGTGTTTACATGGAGCATTTTTGTTCTGTCTGGGCTTTTAAACCAATTATGATCATAATATTTGGCTCCATATAAACTAACTGCAGCTACCTTGGTGCTTTAGCTACAGTGTAAAGTTGTTCAATCCTGCATGTAAGGGCTGTAAATTAAATGTATTAAATTTAATTAAATTATATATGTATTCAAAACAGAATTGTTACAGTTGCCCATCTCCATCAATTTAAAACACTTACACATTTACATTTATATTCATCCTGACAGATTTGGTGTTCATGTTGTGTATGCCTTTGTTGCATAATGATTCACCCATAATACTGTAGGAGAAAACTGGACAGTAGAATATGTTTGTGCCATATATTAGAAAAGTGGAAGGCACAAACACTGCCTCCTCTTCCTTGAATCATGTTCATTATGGGTTGCTGCACGGCGCTACAGTTGACAGATATTGTGGAAAAAGATTCAAAACCGGAGCCTATTTGTTAAATCAGTTGCGGTGCGACGTCTCTCTCTTTTCAACTAATCTGAATTCAATGTTAATGTGATGTGGTTTTCCCAGCAGAATTGAACACAGAAGCTAAAATTCTTATTGTTAATGAAATCAGTGGCAGACGCAGGCCATACAGGATATACAGTATATCCAAACTTAACACACAGTTTAGCTGAAGCCTTCTTTACAATAAGTTAATGCACCGAATATTTTCTTTTCATGTTTGTTTTGTTGCTGAAAGTTAATTTGTCTGCCTGAATACCCCCTATACCAGTTTATATGTATTATTTTTGCATATTTAGCCACACAAGCAGCTTGGCTTAGTGGCTTGGTCCACCATTTTAGTGAAGACCCAAATGTCATGACAAATCTTGGATGGTGTGAGAAAGGCTCCCCCTAGCGGTGACTTTATTGGCAGTTCTTCCCTACTATCTCTCTACCTGAAATCTGCTTCACTTCACATGAATATGAACTCAGGTGTGCCCTCTTTCGCCTGAAGCAGTCTGACACACATCTGCAAGACTCTCCTGAAAATTACAGATCTTAAAACTCCATTCCCACTCCAACTGTCATTTGGTGTGTATCTACTGTGAGTGAAAGAGTTTAACGTAGTTTCCATCATTGTAGTGCTAGGTGGCTAATTGTTTTTCCTTAGTGAGTTCTGTAACTGTAGCAAAGTTTGCTTTGGATTAGTTTGCAAAGTGTTACTGTAGCCGGGTGGAACTGATGTGGGGCAGTTGGTCTGCCTGGACCTGTAATTCAGTTGTGTAATAGTTGCCGTTGGCGGATCAGCTTTACACTAACGTTTTGGAGCATGAGGGGTAGTTGGTAGTTGGAGAAACCCAACCAGGGAACAGCCGCATAGCTGTTAGTGAGCTACCACCTTGGTAGTCTTTCTTTTTTCTTGATTGTTTTGATTTAATGGCTTGTTTTAGCAACCACCATATGTTGTAATGAACTGGTATTGCAACCAGTATCTTGATTGTGAGCTCTCCTTGCACTGGGTGTGTTTGTTTGCCACTATGACTACTGAATATTGTCACAAGCTACACCTTCCTCACAGATAGATTGCAATGAAAGTTTGAACAGACATTCGTGATCTCCAGAAGATTAATCTGAATGACGTTGTTGAACTTTTCATCGACTGTTATCATCAGTCAAAAGTTTTAAATTATCCCACAATTTTTCAAAATCTACATGATGGACAAACACCGGATGGAACCAGTTCCCAGATAATGTATCCAACATTTAGTACAGACAAGAAAATTGTTTTTTTTCTCCATTATTTTCTTTTATGCAATTTTCCTTACATTTTAATTTTATTTGGATCCTTTTTTTCTTTCCCTTTCCAGTAGCTCTCAGCAGCTTACAGTGCTGCAGTGAGCGGTGGTGAAGAGGCGTGTTCTTGCACTTTCTCCGAGTGCTCCCCATGAATGATGTATGATTTACAAGCCTTGCCATTTAGTAATTGTAGCCTAATAGGGCCCTTGAATAGCATGATGAAGTAGGGACCCGCTGCTCCCCTACCTGCTGTTTTAAACAGTAATGCTCTGGTTAATATGCCAAGCACAGCATTGCCAGGCAGCACAGCGCACGTTCAGCTGGAGTGTGTCACTCATCCTGTGTGTGCATGCACACCCTTGTGTCTTGTACATTTTTATTCCACTGTTGCGTGCTTTGCATCCAAAGTCAAATGTATGAATTCACCAACAGGTATTCTCAACCACAAGGTTGTGTGGCTGATTCTGATTTTGCCCAGGTCAACTGACAAACACGGACACACAAAGACACACAAACACGGGGCTATCTTTATTTGGATGATAGAAAATATATTATACTTTGTCTTAAGAGGAAATACTCTACATACAGCAGATACTGCAGGCTGTTTCTCTAGTGCACACTTCAGTATATTGCACTACTAGCTGAGGTACACTTTAAAAAGCCAGCATGCACGGGGAATCACTTGAATTGTGATTGTTGGGTTGATGATGTGGTTTCCCACAACAGAAGAAGAGATACTTACAAAAAAACAATACTGTAACAGCACTGAAGGAAGTCTGGGTAACCGAGCAGACAAACTAGGTAACTGCCCTGGAGCCCCTTGAGTTCTGGAGACAACAACAGGCTTATTAAGTGTCAAGCAGTTTGTGTCAGTTTACTTAAAACAACACTTTATATTAAGGTACAGATATTCAACATTAACTAGTTGTTTATTAGCATGCATATTAGTAGCATATTGGCGCTCTGTTAGTCATTAAAAAGCACTTAATAATGCTTTATTTTGCATGACTATGTTCTACAACTACTACGCAATTAACTAACCCCTGTTTCTGGTCTTTGTGTCGAGCTAAGCTAACTGACTGCTGGCAGTAGTTTCATACTTAGCTTGACTGGTGTCAATCTTTTTATGTCATTTTAGTTACTCTTTGTTTTTAAGTGTCAAATTTGCTGTT